TAGTGTGTTTTATTAATTAGTTTTGGTGTGTTTTAATTAGTTTTATAGTTAATTAGTTAAAATTCTAGTGAAAATATGCATTTTATAATTAAAGTGTAAAAATTGCATTTCTATGAATTTTAATGGTAAAAACTTCATGTTTTGTAGATTTAAGGATTAAATCATCAAATGACATGAATTAAGAAGATAATTGGATGATTGATGATGATTTAAAATGGTTTTAAAGAGAATATGAAGTGTAAGAAATGAAATGCAACTCAGTATACAAGAAGAGAGTTTTTTAACTTTGACACCTTGTGGTATTTTGGCTATATCTTGAGTTACAAGTATGGATTGAGGTGATTCTTGTACTATTTTGAAACTAAGAGATGGATCTACATTTGATATAAAGATATCAAAATCCAGTGTAGTCGTTTCCTAGTCAAAAAGTCAAAATACAAAAGTGCATTTTTATGGTTGAAAGTTGAAACAGAATTCTGATCAGTTCAGGGTATTTTGATAATTTTTAGGTCTACAGAGTTCCAAATTAAATAATTCTTGAGGCATTGAAAAACTAATTCAAAGAACTATAACTTTCATATTTTGTACGAGAATAGTTCAACCTCCATCATCAAGAAAATATCAGCAAAAATAGAGTAAAAATGAAATCTGCCCAGAATGAGCAAACCTACAAAAAGAGCAAAATGGGGGGACAAAGCGCGAGCTAGACCACGTTTCTTGCCCACGTTTTAGTGAATTTCAGCTACAACTTGCTCTGTAACCTGTGTTCTTTCCACACAATCTTTTTGATCACTTTTTCTGCAAAGTTTTTAGCTGAAAATGATCAGCTGAGTATGAAAATTTTGAGAAGCAACTTTTGAGAGTTTCAAGAGTCAAAAATGCCAACTAGAAACAACTCATTTTAGCTCTTCAATCCTCTATAAATAGAGGCCTTCAGGGAACATTCTGAAAACTTTGAAAGGTTAGAGAAACTCACAAATTTTCACTAAAATTTTCTTAGTTCATTAGTTAGGATAATATAGTATAGTTAGTGTAATTTATTCTTCTTGCATTAGTAGCTAGATTTGGATGAAAATTTGAAGAGTTTAAAATTCATGTGACAAGGGTGACTTCTCTTCTCTTCTATCATTGTCGCTTTTGTAATTGAATTCATATTTAGTTAGAATACAAGTTTGGTGTTTATCTTCATATTTAATTAAAGTTTATGCCTAGAATTATGGATGAACTTACTATATTTTGTTAGTAATATTTACTTGGTTATTTGATGATATTTGTTAGGCTCGAAGACAATCTAAGAGGGGGTGAATTAGGTTAATTAAAAACTAATCAGATTATGGGCACTTTTTGCTTAATACGAAATTTACCCTCTTTTCTAAATGATCATACAATAAATCAATCAATAAAGGAGCAATATCACTTGAGAGAAGTAGAAGAGATATGCAATTTAAGGATCACAAGATAATAAATAAATAAAAAGATAAGAAATGCAAACCAATTGACTATCAAGCTCCTCTTAAGCTCGAAAATCAATTCACAAAACAAGCTTGTATCTCAAGATATAACCAAAATATCACAAGGTATCAAAACTGTCTTCACTTGCATTTTTTCCTTTGAATGTTTTGCACTTCATGTCTTTTTTGAACCACTTCAAATCATCAACAATCATCCAATTATCTTCTCAAATCACTCCAATTGATGATTGAATCATTAAACCTACAAAAACATGAAGTTTTTACCCTAAAAATCCATAGAAATTGCAATTTTCACACTTTAAACCATAAAATGGATATTTTCACTAGATTCCTAATTAATTAGCTGTAAAAATAGTTAAAACGCACTTAAAACACATAAAATATCTACTTATCACTAGTTTTTCTAAATTTGAATCAATTTGATTAGCTAACCTTTCTATGGCTACCTCCCAAGTTGGTTTAAGTTCATTAGCTAATCTTTCACTAACTTACTCCCAAGATAAAGGTTTATTAACTAATTTTTCTATTATCGTTAGGAAAAAAAACTAATTTTTCTATAACTAATTTTCAAAATAGCTTAGATTCATATTGGATAAATTCGAGTTGATAATCATAAAAAAATAAAGAATCACTATAATTACATTGATTACCCCAACCATAAGTATAAGAATTTTCTCAATTAGGACCATATTAATTACAATAAAAATTGCAATGCTCAAATTCATCATAATACTTCACATTTTGCACTTGCCTACATGTATGATAACTTTACACAAGTCACAAATTGCATAATTAGAATTAAAAGCATTAACATTCCTTTTTTTGTCCAATCAAATACATAATGGTGTCCAATTAAACTTTTAATGTTATATAATCAAGTTTGACCCTTAAATTTCTTAAACCATTTTCAAATGATATATCTTTAGACATTTCTTGGTTACCTCTATTCATGGAACTTCGTACTTGGAAACAATCCATTGTTGATCTTCCATTTCTTATGCATTGTCCGCCCATGTTTATTACTCTTCTTGAGTCCCTAAACATGCTTTCAAAATAATTCAAAAACAAGTTTAGTCAAAAAGAATAGGTGACCTGACACATACAAAAACACACAAATAAAGACTCAACAAACACACGAGACACAACAAACACAATATAACAAATAAAATGTCTAAACTAATAGAGTTGTTCTTCACGCCGATATTGCCATAAATCTTTTCTGGCAATGGCGCAAAAAACTTGACGAGCCTGGAGTATGCATATAAAAATTAAATTCATTCCACAGTTAGATTTTACATTTATAAATTCTTAAATACCACACACGTGATTTTTTGCAACTATATAGATCGTGATTAAGTATAGGATATTAAGGGTCAAATCCACAGAGAAGAATTAACAATTACTGACACTACTACACCTCCTCTATTATTTAGACTATCAACAAATTGAAGAAAATAAAACTAAGCTAAAATATGTAAGAAAATGGCAAATGAAAGCTCCTTGGACTATAGTATTTACTCATACAAGTACAATTTTTGGATTATTGAGTACTACTATCTTGATTAGTTATGGCGTAATTTTCTCATGCATTAAAACCTAGTCTTGTAGTGAATCAACTATACTTATAACTAATCCATACCTACTATCGTGATTATGAAATTAGCTACAAGTTCATTACCTATATAAAATTACATGAAATAAATCACTAAAACCACAAAGGTGCACATCTACTTTCATGAGTGTGCTCCCTAAATTTAGCACCTCTTGAACTAGTGTTAAATCCCAATTTTTATTGCAAACTTAACATCTTAAAATTCTTACAATTAATGGCTAGTTAATCATGATTAGAGGAGCAAAAGTGCTAAATAACTTACTCAAAATAATAGCATCAAATAGCTAAGAAATCAACACAATACAATCATAGAAAGTTCAACCAAAATCCAAGGCATAAATTTTAGAAACACATAATAAACATAAAATTCAAACTTGTATAATAACTAAACATGAAATTCATTACAAAAAAGAAAGTAGTTGAAGAAGTATCACCCTTATCACATGAGATCAAACTCTCCATCTTGCTCCTTAATCTTCATTCAAGTTTAGCTATACACAAGAAATGGATGAAATTATCTAATAAAACAATCTTATACTACCCAAACTAAAGAGTTAAGAAACTAGTTAAGAACTACATTTTTGTGGTGTTTCTTGCATCTCCCCTGTCTCTTTCAATGATTCTTACATATATAGTTGTTAAGAGACTCAAAAAGTGTTTAATGGAATGACATAAAGCTTTCTATGCATATCCTTAAAGATTCTTGAGCAGGTATAGCTGAAATTATCTGCTGGACTTGAGCTGTAAAGTTGTGTGAAAGCAGACAGAACAAGTTGTAGAAAACAAGGGAGAATACGTGAGCAATGGAATATGTGAGCTAGATCTCACGTATTCAGAGGTCATGTTTTCTCTTCAGTGAATTTTTCTTAATTCTTTTCTACTCCAATTCAACACTAAGATTAAAAGTAAGGTGTCCACATTTTTGTTCATGCATTACGCCAATAATACTTGTCTTTTATGCCCAATTACTTTCCAAATCATCGTTGAATCATGCACTAATGGAGTTGAATGAATCCTTCTTGATCCAATGCTTATAACATTTCTCAAATCCTATAAATAAAACCAAATTTGCACGTTAAACTGTTCAAATGAAACTCGCAAAATTTAGACACTTAGAGAGCAAGTTACACCCCAAAACCCTAATTTATACCAAAAATAAACACCTAATGCTACTTAAAAGCATATATAATAAACACTTATCAAGATCGCCGTGGATGGACCATTATCTCCAAGAAGGTGATGTGTTCGTGTCAACTGTAGACGTGAAGACTGAAATGATAAATAATTTGTAAGTGTCACTATAACTGACCCGGGGACTCACAGAACATGCCCTCACTCATAGTGTTTGTTTTTGGGTAATTAAAGGTATAACATAGAATAAAATAGCAGTCAGTTTGTAGCAATTGTCCTGAAGAAGCTAACTCCCCTTAACTCCTCAATAACAATAGGGGATATTTGTTGGGTGGGGGTGGGGGACCGAACTTGCCCTCACTTGTAGTGTTTTTTTTTTTTTGGTAACAAAAGACATAACATTGAATAAAATAGCAATCAGTTTACAGCAATTGTCCCAGAGAAACTAACTCCCCTTAACTCCTCAATAACAACAGGGGATATTTGTTGGGTGGAAAGGGGGGAAGGGAAGATGGTAGGCAATCAACAAAAATACAAAAGCCTAACTTGAAATGGTGGTTGGAGTAGATCTCACCCAAAATTTATAAAAAGGAAAAGGGAATAATTTTAGAAAACTCCCCTAATGTTTCTGATAGTTTCACTGTCCTCTCTTGAGATTTTGAAAATATCATTAACCTCTCTTAAAACTAATGTTTTTGTAACAAATTAACCCAATTCAAAAAAAATCAACAATAAAAAAATGATTTCAAGAGTGACAAGAATATTGAGGGACCGCAACCACGCACATATCCAGTGACACGTCTGATTACTTCAACACATATGTCTTCTTCAATTCTATTTGCACCATTAGCCTCAGATTCCAACTTCTTTTCCTTCATCTTACGCTGCAAACAAGTTTTTGATAGTTAGGTGTGCATAAGAGTTATACATACACTATTTGATAACAAGTTCAGTTTATCTCACTAAATTGGTAGCCGATATCTTGTCAACCATATCATTCTTTTTGTACTGAAATGCATAATGTCATAAAGTTCAATCGGACCAATTTTCCTTCCCTCTTGTGCTTCCTGTTGGCATAACAATTTAAAATACTTGATCATACACCGTGAAGCAAATCGTTATAATGGTTAATTACTTGTTCATATTTATGTCGCAGAAATGATTTTGTTCCATCTATATGAGCAGTTTGTTGCTTTGCTCTATTACTCTTGTTCCTCTCACTCACCATCTACATTAAAGAAGTTGTAAGATTGATCAACTTCCACAAAATATAGCATGTGTAGTGGTACGAAAAAGTAATTGAACAACAGTCAGCCTAGATACCTTAAATTCTAGACTACAAAAGCAGTTACAAAGGTAACTCCAATTAGATTCTGACACATATTCAGGGCGATGTGCTAGTGCTTCCTCCACTGTCCCAAATTGCTTGAAGATCTTGTTTTGTTAGTACTCCAGTAAGGTAGCTCAGTTTGTTAGTAAGGTAGCGATTATGTCTCATTTTGTTAGTAAGGTAGCGATTATGTCTCACAGAATATGCTCATCTTCATCCAATTTGAATTGTTCTGCGTGTATTTTCGTTTCTTCTGTTTAAGTGTTTCGGAGGCCTTCCCAAACTCAACATGGTCAATACCCAAAAGCTGTTGCAAGATTTGTTCACTAGATAATGTCCTAATAGGCTGCCTGAGTTCTCTATCACCATTAAATGCTTTCCTTTTTCGATGCCATTTATGGTCAGTCGGCAAAATCGCAGATGCCCCATGTAACAACATTTGAGTCCATTTCTCAAATACAAACTAGTTGTCTCATCTAAGCAAACTGGGCATGCTTTATATCCTTTTGTACTCCAACCCGACCAATAGGCATATGCTGGAAAATTGTTTATTGTCCATAAAAGTGTTGCACATAATATAAATTTCTCGCCTTTGAAGGCATCATAGGTTTCAAAACTAGTGAAAAAGAACTCTTTCAACTCATCAATTAGAGGTTTGAAAAATATATCCAAATCATTTCCGGGGCATTTAGGACCGGGAATGATCATGGTTAATAGGAAAAAGGGATCCTTTAAGCATTTCCAAGGTGGCAAATTATAAGGAATGAGGATTACATGCCAAATACTATAGGAATTATTCATGTTTCCATAGGGATTGAAACCATCACTCACAAGCTCTAACCTTACATTGTGAGGATCATTGGCAAATGAGGGATGAAATTTGTCAAACTCCTTCCAAGCTAATGAATCAGCAGGTTGCCGCATGCTATTCTCATTGTCTCTCCTTATGCCACCTCATATCACGAGCTATCTCTTTGTTTACAAAGAGTCTTTGTAGCCTAGGCTTTAATGGAAAATAGCGCAAGACCTTTCTTGGAATTTTTTATCCCGGAGACTTGTATCGAGGGGCTGTACAATTTTCATTGGGGCAATGGTCTAAGCCTTCATTTTCTTTCCAAAAAAGTGCACAATCTTTCTCACAAGCATGTATCTTTTCATACTTGAGTCCTAACTCACGAATTAAATTTTTTGCCTCATAGTAGGAAGTAGGAATTGAAGCCATGGGAAACACTTGACTTAAAAATTTCAGCAACGTATCGACAGATTTACAAGTCCACATGTTCGTTGTTTTTAGGTGAAGAATATGGACAACAAAAGAGAGCTTTGAGTATTTATCATAACCTGGATAAAGACTTCTTTCAGCTTCAGCTAATAATCTAAGAAACCTACTAGCTTCACCATCTTGCTCATGGGGGACATTCACATCAAATTCTTGTGGATTTCTCCAATTCTCACCAAAGTTAGCCACTCCAACATCAAATAACATTTCTTGAATCTCATCACTATCACTTAGTTCTTCATCTATAGTAGTATTAGCACTCTCATTATCATCAGATTCTTCAAAGCCTTCACCATGATATACCCACCTTGTACAACCATCTACAACTCCCCTACACAAGTGATCAGCCATGACCTCCATAGTTTGATCTTCAAAATTGTTACATAATTTGCAAGGACATGGGAGTTTACAAGTCGAATCCTTTCCTAAATAAGAAAATTCGATAAATTCTTTGATTCCAGCAATATATCTCAGATCTAGGTAGTTTTTAATTGACATCCAACTCCTATCCATTTTTTTTCATCCTCTATCCTAACATAAAGATTTGCAACAAATAAATTACAGTGAAGATTCAAACACTGAATTGGAAAAACTAATCTTCTCAAATACTATCAAATAAACTCCAAAAGCATGAAATACATATTTTTCATGTTCAAATATGTCACAATCAGGTGCATATATCTCAAAGTAGAATAGAAAACATATACTAAATGAACTAGATTGACCACATCATGACAACTCAGTACATTGAAAATAAAAATTACAATAATGCAGCACTATGCCAATTTTTCAATCATTCAATGAAAGAGAAAATTTCTAATTACGTGCACACGTGATCACAAAAACAAAAGAAAAAGAGAAAGAGAGAGTTCGCGTTAACTCACCTTAAAGTAAAAAATGCAGCTATATGACAATCTCCTAGTGAGACACTGAGCCTATGTTTGCAGCTTCAATCACTGCAAAAAATAATAATCACAGTACAAACAATTTAAGGTTTGGGAGTTTAATTCGCATCAAATTGTACATATGCAAATTGATCTAACAAGGCCTACAACTATCAATCTAAACAGAGCATTATTGCTCAAAAATTAAAGGATAGTCAAGCATAGTCATTACAATCAAGTACAGTCAAGCGTAATCCATATTCAGTTAACCAGTCATAAATGAATTTTAACAACTAGGGATGACTATACTCTAGAGATTATTTTAGCTAATCAAAAGTAATCTATGCTCCAGAGATGTCATTTTAACAAGCAAAAAATAGAACATTAAGAGGATTAAATGAGACAAAATAGACCAAACAAGTTGTTGGATAGATTGCACAACTTTTTTAGAAATTAAGAGTAAAAAGTTACCGAATATCATCAAGTGCATACATTTGCCTCTGGAGCTTACAGTGATGTGATTTTGTTAATAATTTGATGCATTCTAAAACATATAGTATTGAACTATATTAACTATATCTTTGTGGTTATGGCTCTTTCTACTTTCAGTTTCAGTTGCCTGTGTTCTTGAACCTGCTTTTTACTAGGATTGTTTCCTAAAGTGGCTTTTGTCTGGTACTTCTTATTTGTGCTTATTTTAATCTGTCAAAATCATGGCATGTCCTTGTACCAATACTCTTTGCTCTTCATGGTATTTTGCAGGCCTTGTCCATAAGTTGCTCACTGACTGAAGCTAAAGTTGCAGTAGAAAATGGACAAGTTAATTGCAAAGAATTACTCAACTCCATGATCCAATCTGTACAAGAAGCTAGTGGATTAACTGATTATACAGAGGTCAAGCATCATACGTAATTATTCTCAGAACAGTAGCAGGAACACAAAGAACTGGTATGGTAATCGTTGAAGGTAGTACCTCAAAGCCCATCATCAAATCCATCTTACAAAAATCTGCTTTTTCCTTTTTTTTTTCCTTAATGAGATCCCTCTTTGGGAAATAGGAAAAAATTACACTCCAAACCAAACAAACACGAAACAGGGCCATACACACTCCGGTAATGTGAAGAACAAAGCACACTCCAACTACATAAATGATTCATTGGTGAAATTCCCATTACAGTTAACCAAATTTCAACAAAACAAAAATATCTTTGATAGCACAAAAATTTTCACCAAACCTTGTACCCATAATCGAATCCCTCTAAACCCCCTTGTCTTGTACAAGAAAAAGTTGGCAAAAAATACATAGGGCAGAAACCGACAACTAAGCAAATTCCACTATCAGGAGATGACTCCATCCATAAATCAAAAGAAACCCAAAAAAAAATTGGAGAGGAATTTTTACCCAAAACTTTGGGGAAATTTTCAGTAGAAAAAAGAGAGAGGGCATACCTTTTATTGTAGAGCATTGGTAGTGGAGGAAGTCTTCGGTTTAGCGCTACAGAGCCATAATTGATCGATAGAAATGAGGAGGAGAAGTTCTTCTATTTCGTTTGGCAGAGATGAAGAGGGAGAAGCTCTATTTTGGTTCTAAATGTTGGTAGTACAGTGTATAGTGAAAGAGTACTAGGAACCACGCCCCTTCTTTGTTTACTCATTTAATGAAATTTCAATTCCTTAGCTTCCCCCCTTTTCTTGTTTGGTTGCAAATTTTCAAACAAGGCTTTTTATTTTTATTTTTTAGTTGAAGTTTAATTTTAGTAATACATTATTAATTGCTATTTGTTTTATGTTTTTGTGAAATTATTCATAAAGGGTGAGAAAATTTGTTGCGTTATTACCAGTGATAAATGTACATTTTTTTATTTCAAATAGTTCACTTTTTAATGATGTCAAATAGCTCATCCAGTGTTAATATTGATAACATTGTCTCGAAATTGTGAAACTAAATTATTATAACTTATTTTTGTTTCTTTTCATTATTTTAGCCTAACAGTACAGTAGTATTTTCAGTTGTTTTACACTGAGAAGCACGAATTTTAATGGCTACTTTTGTTTTAAATTATTGTACGAGTATTCATTTGCAAGACTTGGTTCTTAATCGTTACAAAATTCATTTTATTTAGTAACAAGAATAAGTCGTCACTAACGACTTCCATTATTATCACTGACAAAAATGGACACATTGTCAAAGAAAGGGGATTATTACTGACGACATTTAAAAGTCACCACTGACATACTTGAGCGCGTTCTAGCGGGATTCCAATTGTGACGACAATTCGAGGTCACTGGTTCCTTTCAGTCAATTGTGACAACTTTCTATGTTGTGCGTAATGTGCCCTATTTTATGACGACAATTTTGTCACTAGAAAATATTGTCACTAATAACCAAATTTCTTGTAGTGATAGTAACTAACATCTCCTTCATTCTCTAGAGTTCTAAGAATGATAGTTACATCTTTATCAAGAACTCTATACTGCCAATTTGTAATTTCTGGATACCCAAGAACTGCGGCAGGGGGAGGGGAGGTAGAAGGGAGAGGGGTGTACATTGAGTAAAAAAAAAATTTTTTTATGTGCATCATTTTCAGACTTATAAATTGCATGTTAACTATTAGTTTATATTTTTTTATTCAGTCTAGATATTGAATTGCAATTGGAGAAAAATATTTTTAATTAAAATGTTATATTAACAAGTTCTTTTCTGTCAATGGACTTTTTGACAAAATAATAGTAATACTTAATTTAATGAAACATAATAAGGAAGCTATATATTGTGTAATAAATAAAAATTTACATTAATATATTAATTAAATACAACTACTCAATTTTCCAACTTTTTATTCTTCCATTATTAAGGAGACAAAATATAATTGACTATTCTGTAATATCAAACTTTGGAAAGCAATCATATCTCAAAGTGCAAAAAAGAAGTAAAGGGATAATATTATTAATTAGCTGTAAATGTTTAGGAAGAGAATTTCTAAACTTTACTTCTTATTAGTTTCCTTGTTTTACACAAAAAGATTGCATAAATGTAGAATGAAGTACTTAAGTTTAAAATTTGGCTAATCAATAATGAACATTAAAATAAAAAATTTGGCTAATCAATAATGAACATTAAAAGAAAACAGTTAATTGAAAGGTGTGTGCAACTTAGCTAACAAGAGATTTTTCTTAAGTCGACAATAAACTGTTAACAATGTAAAATATAATGCTAAAACAATTAATAAGTAATCAACTAACAATAATGCAAGGTCAAAAATATTCAAAGATGAATAAAAGTTCAAAATTTCACAAGGCAAAAACTAGGTGATCAAATTTTGTTAATATTTTAGGGGGGACAAAGAAAAGATCTCTAATAAGAGTTATTAAAATTTCTTAGGGATTAAAAAGTAATCTCAAGACGTGGGGGCCCCTTCCCCCAGTCCCTCCGCCAATGTCGGTGGCACCATGTTCCAATATGGACAATTTCATTGTTTCAACATTACACGCACCCAAACTATCGAAAAATCCACTGGCATATTTTTTTGATATTTTCCTCCACAATTACCCCACCATGATGGACTTTAAGAAAATCATTATTGCCACCTTCACCTGTTATAAACAATAGGGATATACTTGATTAGAACCGAGAACCACTCTGTCTTAAAAAATAGGAACATGAAAGCAAAGGCTAACCAAGCAAACAAATAGTCGCTTCCCGTGGGCTAAATATAGTAATTCACTGATACATTTTTAATTCAACTTTGACCCACATTAAC